TAAAATTGTCGTCTTTTTTTTACTTCAATTTTCAAAATGATCCGTATCCATTATGATAAATTGAATTTTTATTTCTAAAATCTCAACTCGAAATCATACATCCAAGCTTTATTTGACGGCACATAACAGTATATCGCGTGACCATATCTCAACCAAAAAGATCACGAACAAATCGCTTTAATGTGAGATCTATCATATTTTTATAAGGGTAAAATAAATATAACGCGTACGCACATAATGAGCGCTCCGGATACTTTCTAAGCTTTGTTAATAGAACTTCAGATTATTGACTCGCGTCATCGAAATTCCGCGATAATGCGAGTCAGTCGATCCCGTACGAACTCTTCGCCGAATCTGTATACCACTTTGGTGAAGAAACATCACGAGAGGAGCAATTCAAAACGCGTCGACATCCCTACGAAAGCTCGAAACACATTGGACTATAATTATGAGTTTCCATGTCGTCACGCAGCAGACTACACAACTTCCACGCTGTCCCGCGGCGAAACTTTCGATCCAGCACGGAGTTGACTTTAATTTTCCCAATATCTCGAGACTTTAGACTTGAAACTCGCTGGTTAGTCCTCTTGTTTTTACAATTTGAAAACCAACAGATTGTTGCGTTTTCTTTCTTGCTGTTTTTTGTTTTTTATCAATTCCCGATAAAAAATTCTCGATAGGAATTAAAACCGACTGGGCGCCGAATGACTCGATGAAAAGTCTCGCTGATAGCTTTCGCAGTTGAATACGTTTTGTGCGATTAGTTTTCCGCTTCGGCCAAAGAGTTTCCATTATAAATATACACGCAGAGACGATAAAGTTGCTCGATCGAGAAGGTTGCCCATGGCAGAGCGACTGAAGAAAGGCTGTATTAATTAAAGGAGATCCAAAGTGGTAAGGTAGCCTCGAATTAAAATTAAAAATATCCACGAGTCCGTAAATCCTCGTCTCAAGAAAACTTTTGCCTTTTAATAAGAGTTTCGCCTGGGCTTTGGCGAATAAAAGAGCAAAAGCTCGCAACAGCCTGAAATATATATATCCCTCGGCGAGATTCGTGAAATCTGTACGTTTTTTCCTCTGTAACGCGCAGTCGGAGTAGAGAGCAGAGGAGTGGGGAGTAGATTAAAATTAATTAAATTTTCATCGACGTTCGTTTGACTCGACTCATCGTGTCCGTGTGCTAATAACCGTGGGGACTCGCTGCTGCTACTGCAGCTGCGTGCGAGGTCGCCTCGAAAGGTAGACGAAGATTAGATAAGGAAGAATTTTCCGAGGAGACGATATCATGCGCGGGAGCATCAAGACTGCATCGAGCCCGAGCTGGAGGCAGTGTCAGGGAGCGCGCGATATTCTTGGAATCTATTCGTTTCCTACCGTTGCAGGCTTTTACCTCGTCATTGAATCTGCCCGCTTGAAATAGTGAAATAAATAAATATTCAACGTTCTCCCGCAATAGCGTCGACATCGATTTGCTACGCGTAGAGCAGCCGCTCGTACGCGCGTGCAATAATCGACGCCCTTGCTCGCCAGCAAATTCAACGATCATTCTGAGCATATCGTCGGGAAACATAAAATTAAAAGCAATTTATCAGCGCGCAACCTTTTTGCTTCCTTTCAAGCCACCCGTTCATATTCGTCGCGCATGCCTTAATGTTGTTCCATGCAGCGATGGAATTATCCGGAGCTTCAGTTGTGCCCGCGTCTGTCATGTACTTGATGCGATCGTAACATTACATCGGCTACCGGCCGCCCATATTTTTAACAAAATCTGTGAATTCCAATGTCAAACGTAAATTTTCATTGCGCATTTCCAGGTCTGCGATCGCGTCGGTTAATCTCGCCTCTCCCACGTCGACGAGTGTAAATAAATTCCAGTCGCGTGTGCAAACCGCGCGGGAAAGAAGCGCAAGTCCCACAACGTACTTGGCATTCCTTTTGCGGTTGCCGACACAAAGGGCAAGAACAAAAGCCACCACTACCCATGCGGACACGATTTAAAAGTGGCCACGTTACTTTTAGCAATTGCCTTGCTCGCGACGAGGTTCATTTACTTCGAAGAGAGAGAGAGAGAGAGAGAGAGAGAGAGAGAGGGGACGACGTACGACGCGGCAAATGCTAATTCCCCTTTGACTCGTTAATAAATCAATGACGAGAGTTGACGCCACTCTCGCTCCCTCTCTGTTTGCTCTTTTCGCTTTGCGTCGATTGCTTTTCTCGTGTATACGTCTATTGTTATTGCGCGAGAGAAACGTTATGTTTAATAGTGACGATGGTGCAATGTTATTTCATAATGAGATTTACAGCGAACTGAACACACAGTGACAAGCATTTCACGACAAAATTAATTTGCAATGATGTCAAATTGTACTTGTTGATTTTTCAAGTATATTGTGTCATTTTCCCTATCGCGTGAATTGCATAAATTAACGCTGTGACAAATTATGTTCATATATTATGAAATGATCGTTCACCCGTGGTATTTTTTGTTACTTGTTCCGTTTTTTTATTCAATCGCAGAGAGAGAGAGAGAGAGAGAGAGAGAGAGAGAGAGAGAGAGAGAGAGAGAGAGAGAGAGAGAGAGAGAGAGAGAGAATATGGCAGCATTTATTTTAATTAAAACGATTGTTCATCCACTCGAATTTTAATGTAAGCTCCACGGCACACACGGCACGAATTACACTTGCAGCGCGCTAATTACACGAGAAGCGCAGAGTCATTTCAACGCTCATTTCTTTCGCTTTACAAATCTATGGCTATTGAAGCACGTTGCGCTTTCACATTTAATCCATTTGATAAAACAGCTGTTGCAAAATCCATTAATTCTTCAACCTGCTTTGTTTGCTCTTTTTAAAACTTAATTGCCTTAATTTGCGTGACAAATCAAACAAGAACAACATTACCTCGCAACGATTCTAACTACTGCAGTATTAAAAACTACTTAGTTGTCATTTTAATATTGTATGAAAAAACTGCTTGAAAAAATTGTTATCAATTTAGAAATAAAGTTATCGAACGAGATACGATAATTTTTTTAAATTTTACTGTTCTTTAAATTATTTTATTTTATTTCATAACTTTAACCGATATTTCTATTCATCTCAGCTTAAAATTCTATATTACAGCTTATCCAATGTCTATATTTCGAGTAATAAAGTATCGAAATGGATATAAATAATGAAACAGACTTCATCCTCTGCATTCGTTCCAACGAAATGATATGATTATCCCAAATTTTAGTAAAAAGACGAGAATTTTAAAGCCAAGCACTTGATAATCAAACATGCGATATCGTGGAAAATATGATTTATTAAATTTCATTTTGCGCGTAATTAGTTCGTTCGGAAATATCAAGAAATACGTTGTTCGCTCAAATGTTATTCATGAGATAGAGGAAACCAACCTCCCAAAAAAATTCCGTTACGTCACAGATACGCTCGGAGGTTAAAACGTACTTGTTTCGAAAAAAAGCGCAAAAAAAAAACCGTGAGCTTACTAGGGCTTTCGGCATACAGGATATAATGAAAGAAAGGTGCGCGAGTGGGAGGATAAGAGAGAAACAATGAGAGCGAGAGGAAGAGACAGCAGAGGACGCAAATCGCCCAGTGTGAGCGCAAACAACTTCCATTCCCACACGTCTGCCGAATGACGGGTACTTATACTGGCGGAAAAAGATTGGCGGGAAAACAAAAAAAACAAAAATACGGCATAGCGTGCCTGCGACAAGTCCATAGATTAGAGATCGAGATTTTATTATCGGTTCTGTAACTTTTTATTCGCTCGCGAGCCTCTAATTCATACTCCGATAATACTTTTTACTTTATCGGCAAAACTTTTACGGCTTTTTCTTTTGCTCGTCATTCAAACTTTAGGATTAGAGACGTTATCAAGTCAGCAGTTTGCTTTCCGCTGCCAAGATAAAGAAACATCTGATTCATGTCCTTTTTACGAATTGACTTACTCGGGCCACTTATTCGAGTATCCTGCACATCTGAAGTTCAAGCACACAATGATATATATGGTTCGGGAGTATATCTACTTTGAGGATACTTTTTTTATTTGCTCCTCCTTATTTCCAACGAGAATGAGGGAGTATATCTTACTTCTTCGAACTAAGCTATGACGTGACGATATTTTTTTTATTGGATATCGGTTATTTTCCGGATAGAGGTAGCTGATGTAGGGGCTCGTTCGCATTTTTTTTTCAAACGCGGGAAACTTTATTCGTATTCAAAGCTTTTATTTGGATTTTCCATGAATGACCGATGTATTAAAGTCTTCGGGAGGTGAATAATATTAAAAATAACCTGAAAATTCCTTTCTTTTGCTGAGACGCGTCGTGAAATAACCTTTCGCGAGCATTGTTATATCGACCGCGATTGTGGCGAGTAAAAATAACAAGAAGTCCTGATTCAAGGGAAACAGATTTCAATCTATATTCACGCCAGACTCACTAATTCGTATGCGCAACCTACTTGTAGGTATCATTGCGATTTAACACTGACGCCAAAACTCTCGCGAACAATGCACTTATGCTCGCAGGCAGTTGAGTTATCGCCATCTAGTTAACCGAGATCCTCGAAAGCATTTGATTAAAAAGCGTACGGACGCGACGACGGCGTAGTCGTTGGCCCACAGTTATGAAATATCTCTGATAAGGCGAAAAAGTAACTGGCTCGATATTGGAAAACAATAAATTGTAAGTTGGGCTAGGGTATTGATCAGAGCCGGCAAAGTTGAAACATCCCGAAAGGATGATGCGACGAGCCGCGCATCCAATATCAACTTGGTGTAATAAATTAACAAACTTTCCGCGCCACGCAGTGCACTTCGAAGGCATCGTGCCGATGCCGCAAAGTTGTAATGAATTATGAAAGCTCGTCGGACGCCAACAGGTTGATTAAAAAGCGTGCGGTCAGGTATGTATACCTATACCCGTGCACAGCTTAACCGCAATTCCGACCAGCCAAGAACGAAAACAACGGGGCGCAAGTTGCTCTCACCTGACGCCAGCTCGCCGGAACGAGTCGGCCGATCTTCGCGGTTCAGTAGCGTCATCCTCGTAGTCGTCGCATGCGGAACGACAGATCGTATCGCGGCACAAGCACTACAATATACGTGTGTGTCGCACTAACGAGACTCTGTTCCCAGCTGCCTTCGAGCGTCGAGCGCGCGCGCGCTCTTTCTCTCTCTCTCTCTCTCCCTCTCTGTCGCGTTTTCCTTTGCACTGTGGCGGCGCACTACACTGATTGATGCAACGCCGATAAAACAACAGCACTGTTTTAACGGCGACACGAAAACTGGTGGTTGGCTCTCGAGGCTGCTCGCTGCTGCTCGGCAGCGAAGCGCGCGGGACGGACTACGGCACCGGAATGACGGCCCGAGCGGCGCCGCTCAGCCAACGCCGCCAGACAGAGACGGGACGAGCGAGCGTGCGCCGTCGACGATGCGCGCTGCGAGCCCCGCCGAGCGAGAGGCTGCTTTACGCTCGCGCGCGAGCGCCGTCGCCGCCTCCCGAGACACCCCCGCCACGGCACTCTCACCAACTTTCCCATTTGAATTGGCATTTTGCTACCCTCAGCGTTAACCAAAGCGCCACGCCACAGACCAAGATCAGAACCGCGCGCGACCTTAGCATCGACCTGATTCGAGCTGGGTCACGTTCGTGGATGTGAACGGGCTTGTCGTCAACATGCTAGAGCCTTGCCGGGGCAGCTAGCGAACTTTTGCCAAGCAGGAGCCGACCATCTTTCATGGGATAGAGCTTTTGCTGTAAAAGCCTCTTACATTAAAATTGGACCATATTATAGCATATTTTACTTTTTGCTTGATTCGCAATTGACCGGCGTATAGCGAATTTTCCTTCCGGGTCACTGTAAAATGCGTAGTAATTTTCTTGAGTACATGTATACTGTTCAGAATGCTTTCACATAAACGAAGACTTAAACGGAGTGCTTCAAAATCCCGCTTTGCGATTTGAGCGTTGACAAATAGATTGTTTTAGTAGTTTGATAATGTGAAAACTGTCGATTAAATCATCCGAGTGGAAGATGCAGGGGTTCACTCGATGAAGTCGATAAGGGCTGCAAACAGTAACATTGCGACAGGGACGCGGAGCGTCGGTTATTTGTGTGCAAACGAGATTATCCAGTAGCGTGAGTAGTGTCTCTACTCGCAAACGAACTATCGGTCGGTTAGTCAGCCGCGCGAGAGAGGGAGGCACCGAGAGAGATAGAGAGAGAGAGAGAGATAGGGGGGGGGGAGGAGGAGAATATGAAAAGAGGAACGAGGCATTGGAGATGTACCAGCAGAACCAGCAGCAGCAGTAACAGTAGCGAAGAGTCTGGCAGAAAACCAAAACAGTCTTTGCTCGCGGATCGCTCGGGCTAAAGTGGAAACATTATTCGAGCCGCGAAGCTGAAGCATAGCGCCAGCGCGTACGTGGAATTGTTGCTGAATTTTAAGCGGCTCGCATAAGAGCTGAGCGCACGCGAACCGTAAATAAATGTGAAGAATTGAGGAGAGCTGAGGCCGAGAAAAGAGAGAGAGAGAGAGAGAGAGAGAGAGCAAATCAAATAACCCGACCGCTTGGGGATTACGCTAGCAGCCGCTTGTTGCGATCTCCCGCTCGAGCACTTTATTATTCCTTCGGCTTGACCTGCATTTTAAATACCCCCCAGCTGTGTGTCGTTACATCGGAAAATTACGATTAATCTCCGCGAAAGCTGTCGCCCTGCCTTCGCTTGACTCACGCGGAATAACAAAATAGTAGCAAGCCGGAGATTTATTTTCAATGGGACAGGTAGGCGAGCGACATGCCCTGCAGCTTTTCGCTAAAATAATTCAAAGGATCGGCCGCATCAATAAATCTTTCTCTGCCTCCCCTCCACTTCATATTGCGCACAGCCGCACCGCTTTTAGACAAATTGACAACTTATACGACGGGGATATATGGCGCCGGCCCATCGGTCGCTCGCGCGCGCGACAGCAACAAAAACTCTTTGACTGCCAATATTCATGAAGCTTGTTCGGCTTTTATCGAGACCGCCGTCATACTCGCGACCGGCTCGCGCGCTGTTTTCTCCCGCGCTGCTGCTCGAGTCGAAATTCGCTTACGCCGACCGACGAAGCTCATTTCCGCTGAATTTTAAAAGAAACTTTCTTTCCGTGCCGCTTCGACTTTCAGCACGAAATAATACCGTGCAGTAATTCGCAATAGCAGCTTCTCCGCATAAACTTGGCCAAGTTCATTCCCCGACGAATAGAACGTTACATTTGTTTGTGCTGGGCTTAAGCAACGGGATTTACGACTGGCCAACTACACTTGCGCGATATAATGCTGAATTATAGTTCATTAAAATTCATGAAATAGCCTTAAGATAATTACGAGTTAAAATTAGGATTAAATTGTAATGAGCGTCTAGAGCGTTTAGCTAAACAATGCACATGCTACGCGAATTTTGCGCTCGTGGCCACGGAAGAAGCGGCCCCAGCTCGGTTTGACGATAAGTCGAGCAGCGAGAAGACACGCGGACGGTAGCGTGGACGCGCAAGAGGCTAGAGCTCCGCGAGCGGAACAGGCGGCGCGCGGTCGCGGCACACGTGCTCTACGAGGGTAAAGTCGCGTAGGAAGCACCGGTGACTAGCGACGACGCGTCACGAGCGTAAAACGGCCTCGAGCTTGCGCTCTGGTGGGGGCGGTTGCAGCTATCGATTCAGTTCTGCCAACCGTCGCGCCGCGATCGCGCGAGAGATGGGGTGGGCGGTTTGCGCGTGTGCGCGCGCGGCCGCCTTAGTGACTTGGCCGTCGGCATACCTAGGGAATTGTCGGGCTGCAAGTGCCGCGGGGGCCTCCGCTTACAAGATAACGCATCACCGGGGACGACACTGTACGCGCGCGCTTGCTACACTCGATTCTAATGCTTTCGAGCCTCGTTCCAACCGGTGACTGAAAAAATTGCCTATATGTCCGCCTGCTGACGCACCTAGCACATCCCCTTCTCCCTCTCTCTCTGTCACCCTCCCTGGACAGTCGTCGATCCTTAGTTTCGTTGACAGCTTTCACGCTTATGCAGATCGATGGCACCGAATTGGCCTAGCAACTATCACTTCTCCTCTCGTGGCCGACTTTGCTGCTACTTTTTTTTGCAAACTTTCGGTCAACGCGCGATACGAATATAAACAAGCAGTCCTTTGGATAATAATGACTGGAAACTTTACACCTTCCCTCTCCCTCTCATGGAAGTGGGTTGGCCTCGACCGGGGTTACTTCTCTACTTTCGAGTTTTATAGCCGTCATCAAAGAACTGAAGGGAAGGAGATCTCTTTCTCTCTTTTTTAGGATGGTGTGTCAGTCGATAACTACGATTTTTCTTACCCTCCCTCCTCCGATGAAAGGATCTCGTTAGCGAGCGGATTTACGAATCGTATTGTTATCGCTGAGGCGTTTGCGTCAATTTTATTTGCTTGCCGATAGAATTGATGCTTCTAAGGGATTGACAAAGTGCCGAAACGAGTCTGGCTTGTGAATTTTGTAAGTGGTAAGAGCTTGCTCAAATATTTATAACTATAAATCAGTCATCAATTTTATTTACAAAATTTGCTGAAAGATTCTTATCCTGTCTAATCCATAATGAAAAAATTCACTGATTTTCATTAATAAATTGCAAAGTGCTCATTATTCGCTAATGATTCAAAAGTTCAAGAATACAACATTAATTGTTCGTGGCAATCAAATTCACTTCGTTCATGAGTATTACTCTGAGATGTTTCGGTAGCAACGCTAAAGCAGCTTTAGTTCAAGGATCCATTTACTCGGATACAACAATTCGTTCAGCGAACTCTATAAAACCAAAGTCTCGATGTTTCAAGTCATTTAAATTTGTGTAATCATGAAAACTCGTGTCTTTAATGCATGAGTAATTACAGTAACTTTACAACAGCGTCCGACCGTATACTGATATTACTACTTGTACTCGTAGCGCTAATTGTTTCGAGGTAAAAACTTTGATCAAAGTTAAAGTTTCTTTACTCGGCTTCTTTTCTCTGAACAATCATCTATCTTATCTCCCGTCGGCAGAAAGAAGAAGATAATTGCTTTATTCATCAAAAAAAGTGCGTCTCTACGGAGCTCACCTTTGCTCATGAGAAATGCAAAGCTTTACTCGCCAAGGTCGCGCCGGAGAAATCACTCGCTGCACAAGAGACGCAACGTCAGTCTCAGCGTGACGATCAGAGCAAACGAGAGATGAGAGTATTGTCGAGGAGAGGGCGAGAGACGAGGAGAAAAATGGCGAGAGAAAAATTGATAAATCGAGAGCCGCGCCGGAGTCGTTTTGTTTAATGGATTATAATGAATCGACGAAGAACGCAGCTTCTACGACTAAAAGAGCAGCAGAGCGTGCGTTTGAGAGAGGTTGGCACGGAGAAAATTGCCGTGCGAAAAGGTGCTGCAAGCTATGTTAGCCCACAATAACTCCTCGCCGCGAGGATGATGAATCACCTTGTCGCCAGCTACGTACGAAGGTACCTTCTCGCGCGCGCGCTTTCCTCCTCCTTCTCTCTCTCTCTCTCTCTCTCTCTCTCTCTCTCTCTCTCACTCTTCTCATGTATTCCTATACCTCGATTCAATTTAACTGCCAGTAGTGCCCAAGACGAGATATATGAAGGCATTGCACACTGCTCGCAGCCAAAAAGACAGCTGCGAGTCGCGGCGCCGCAGCACGGCAAAATCACGCGAGATTCCTCGCAGCTACTCGCAGGAATTTCCTCCACGGAAGAATGATGATTCGCCTAATCTGCAGTACATTAACGTCCCACGAATCCCCCTATTCCGTTAGCAGAGCCGGCGCTTCCAGTGATCAAATAACAGTTTGCGACGCTGCTGAGTCTCCACTTTTTTTTAATCATCCCTTCGATCAAACGTGGGCGCAATTAACGCGTACGTACGTTCAAACTTGCGCCTTGGCAAGTTCTTACGTTGCGGGCAGAGAGAAGCCCTTGGAATTACGATAGGACTGGGCTTCTAGGCGCGCCGATGCTACGGAAGTTAACTCTCACGCGTCCTTAATATCGGAGACCGTCCTGTAGGTGGATCCACCCTCCTTGGTTATTGCACTGCCCTATATGCTGCGCGGTTCAAGCTTTTCTGCTGGCTTCAAATGACATTTTCATTTGAAACAACTGCTTATTCACAAGTTACTCGCTGTGCTTGTGCGCCATACTTTGCGTTCAAATATTGTGAATTCCAATTTTAAGTTAGATAATGGAAAACCTGGAATTGTTAAAGTTGAGCTGGATTGTTGGCTAGCGGATGCGTAAACGCTGTAAAACGCGTTGTTTACTGATCAAAGCGAAGAATATATAATATTTTGAAGAGTTTTTCCTTTTAACAACACGCCAATTGAACGAGAGTAGTTTTAAAAACAGACGTTTTTTGTATACGTTTGTGTTCGAGCGTTCGCAAAGAGTGTTATTAATAAAGAAATGCGTTTGATTTGGAAATGTACGTAGTAAATATTGACAGTCTTAAATTGCATACTGCAAACAGTAGCTGTTGGTGTAAAAGTTTAATCAATTATTTCAATTCGTTGAAATTCACAAATAAAAAAGAATGAAAGAGACGAGAAACCTTGTATGCCAAGACTTTCAATCACGAGTTTACTCCGTGCATTCATTTCGCGGGCAGCCATGCAGCTCTAGCTAAAGTATATATTTACTGACCTGTGCCAAAAGCTGCATTCTTCGTGACAAAAGTCTCTGGCTACTGTGAACGTCATTGTTCGCGTCACATTTCCAACGTTCGGGCACGCTTTCATGAGTGTACGCGATCACAAAGATACATTGCCGTCGTGAACGATACGAAAATTTCGTGGCGCAGCGATATAAGGGTCAGCGGGAAGGAAAGCGCAGAGATTAATTTCCTCGGCGCGAAAATAATTTCCGAGCGGGCCACGGCGCATCGCAGAGCGCGTCAAGCGTAGCGACGTGGGCGCCGGTTGAAACGCGCGCGCGAGGATGAGTGGAAACGGCGGTAACGAATCGAATCTCCATAGCTGAGACTCGTCTAATCGATATAGCGAGCGCTGGGTCATTGCCACGAGCGAGAAGCCTCGTCCTCGCGGCGAGGTGCAGTCTTTGGCTAGGCGCGCAATATCCGGCTGCTCATCGTAAACGTCTCTCGCTGCGCCGGTTCCACATTTTATGCGCCATGGTTGGCCTCTAGGACTGCAAAAAAAAGGCGAGAGGAAGGAAGAGAACAAAAATGCGCTCGCCGATAAATAATTCTGAGGCGAGCGAGAAAAGCGAGTTGGTAGAGAGGAGAGAGAGAGAGAGAGAGCGAGAGGATCGCAGTGCTGCGCTATGGTTGCATTGTTCTCGCACAATAGCCGAGAGAACGGATGAATGGCGTGTCTCTGGCCGTGGCCAGCCGGCCGGTACAAATTTATTAATTGACCGTGGACAATGAGCGAGTATTAGGCAGTCGGATGATGATACTCCATTAAACGCGAAACGAGCCGCTACGGCTCTAAAATTTCAACGATCTGATTATATTTTTCCGTGACTAATCGCTTGCGCAGCTGTCAGCCGCGCGCGGCGATGATGCCGGTATCAGTGCAATTGTACAGTCAATTAGATGCTCGTGCGATCAACTCAAGCTCGCGCCTTCGCTGTCGCTTGACTAGACGGAAATCTGCGAGCAACTCCTGGCCGTGGTTACTTGTAATGTTGCGAATCAGACTTGGCAAAAGAAACTGAGAGCACTTCTGGCTTCGCCACTTCGAGCCCACATACTCGGCGCCAAGGAAATTCTCGAGGCGCGCGACACTGCGGTCACTACAATAAGATCCAGTGCGAAGACTGTTGCAAAATGACGTCAATGTCGACATCGACGAAAAACTTTTCATTAGAGGCATTCCCACAGCCGTGCGTCCACGACTTTTTGGGCTTGACCTCTCGGCGTCCTTTCTTTCGGGCGCGCACTCGACATTTGACTCACGTGCAGAGCCGTTCTATTTTTTTTTTTACGATTTTCCGCTCTCTCGTACATCCACACATGCGCAGACAGTGGTGCGCGCGCGAATACGTGCGTGTTCTCGCGAAAATTGCCGCGAACAAATGAGAAAAATGATCACGTAAGATGCAACGGCTTTCAAAGCTTTGAAAAGAAGAACGAGAAAGGAAAAAAACGATGAGGATCGATTTATTAGTTAACGTGGTGCTTTATATGATTTATATCGTGTGAAGAAGAGAGAGAGAGAGAGAGAGAGAAGAAAATCATACCAATTGGGAAAGGCTTGAGTACAAAATGTCTTTTATTCAACGTGCGCTCTATACAAATGGTTAGATACGAAGAGATTGTGCTTGATAATGCACTCGAGTGTACAGCACTTGCGAAAAATTGCATTGGAAATTTCTCGTTAAACTTTGTCAGCCGATTCGCTTGCTCGCTCGCACGAGCGATTTTTATTTACATAAATTATCCTAATTACACTTTCACGTGTACGCGCACGTGTATCTTCGGCTGAAGCGATTCGTTCGTGCGAGGAGGCCGCGTACGTGTAAAAAAATTTTGCGTTGCGATTATTCAACAATTTTCGTACACGCGTCAACGCTTCCAACGCTGTATCTACGAGCTTTAACGACTCTATCGCAAACGCACCACTCTCGTTTTTCATGCTCTTCGCAAGTTTTCCATGGCCGTTGTGTGGTTTTAAAAGTTATTAACGGAAAATAATTAAGCACGATGTATCAAAGTATATCAGTCGTCGCTGCGCGCGAGCAAACACACACACACACACACACACACACACACACACACACCTCTAAAAGCCTACGTATGAATGCTACGTCCTGTGCTTCGTCAATATCACGCCTCCATGCGTAACGAATAATTTAGCGTGCTTTTGCGAACGTCGGCAGCAGACCTCTCTTTGAATTTCAAATTATTTTTGTAAATATTTCATGTGGCATTTTCGTAAGTACGTCCTTGAACTCTGTGACTCGATAGTGAAAAATATCGTTCTCATTTTCCATGCATTTTGCGAATGTTTAGTGGCAGTTTAAAGTGTATACGAAACAAAAAAAATATATGTGCTGGATATTGCTTTTAAATAAACGTGATTGGCGTTAAAAAATATTAATTATAATGTGTATCAAAGTATTATCAGTCGTTGCGTACATCTAAAATCTACGTACAAAAGATACAATCTGTAAATTATAAATATCTCAGCTATAAATTAGCTAGCAGCGAGCGCGAAACTGCTTCTTATAATACAATATTGAAGTCGTTGCATCGCATTAAAGGAAAACTGCAATTACTCCAAGTCGATCGTCTTTACGTTAAGATACAATAAATTGGCGATGTCGAGCCAGCCAATAAATATTAAATTGAAAAGTTAGTCTGTCCCACGACGAGTATCGCGTACAACGAAACGCGTGTTTGCGCGGGACAAACGGAGCCTTCTGACTTTGCAGTCAATCTGTTTTGACTTTGAGTTTGACTTAAAGCTTGGTGACGGCAGCGACAACAGCGTCGTCAGGTACGTTGACCCTTTGCACGACTTCCGCGCGGAGCATTGGAATCCTAGTCGGTGGCAATAATTCCCCTGGTAATAGCATTTTCTCTCGGCGAGCTAGCAGTCGCTGGTAGGTCTCGTTGTCGTGCAGGTTGCTGGTCGGCGTTGCCGCTGTTGGCCGAGCTCGAGGCAAAGTGCCCGTGGTCGTCGGCTTTATGATGATGCGGGGCAGCTTAGTCGCTCGTTCCGGAATCAGTCGCGTTGGGTAGTCCGGCTGGTCTACTCCTCGAGGAATTGGGTCCTCTCTTTTGACCTTTGTCAGACAAAAACAAGCAAAATCGTTAGATTTTTCTCTTTCAAGCTGATTTACTGATGACATACAGTCGCTGCAATATTGCGAGCTTGTATAAATATTTTGATGGAGCTTGTTGCATCAATAACTGTTTTTAACGAACCATCATTCCGATTGCTAAAGCAAATATTCGCCAGCCGAATTTATATTCAAACAATTGATTGGTGGTCGTATCCGAATTTCCACATTTCTATTTATTTTCCAAATAACATTGATCCACGCTGTTAATTTAGCTTTCATTTAATCATAGTAATTCACGTGATCACGCTTATTCAGTCATAAAAATTGGGATTACTCAATTAATGTACTTCCACTAATTAGATTATCAAGCGATACAAGGTAAAAATTATTATTACTGACCTGATGCTCCAATTTGACTTTGGCTCTCGGTGAAACAGGTATCCTAGACTCATTCTTTTCGATGGGTACTATCACTTGCCTGAAGGCCCCATGAATTGGACACATCGAAAGGCTCGAGGAACTGACTAACTTTATAGTGTTGTCCGTAGTGTCAACGAGACTCGGCACCGACTGATTCTTCGATGAGTCAATCTTCTTCCTGAGTGGACCCACGTGAAGATTCGTCTTCACCGGAAGTAGGTTATTGTCACCGTCGTTGTTCTCCTCGTCCTCGTCTTTGTCCTCAACGCAATCCAAACTCCTAAAAGAATAAATAATCTCGTTGATTATGCCTTGTTATCTTTGCCCCCGCGATGAACGATCACGAAGGAGCTTGATCGTCGGGTATAAGTCTACCGCGAGGTGCCACACATCCGCGGTGGCGGTGAGGGTGGCTGTGGATGCCGAAGTACCGTCGACTGGCTGCGGCCAATGGCGAACGCCGCATTGGGAGGCAGAGAGCGGCGCTTCTCAATGTCCGGCAGAACCTTCGGATAGTTCCTGCGCCTGATTGTGCGCAGCGCCTCTTCGTGGCTAGTGCTCGCGTCCGAGGTGGTCGTCTCGGCGTTCGAGTCCCGACTCGTGACATTGACGTCGAGGCAGGCTGCTGGCGGCTGTAGCGGCGCGAGCGCTGCCGGCGAGCCGAAGGTGAGCATCCGCCGAGGCAGCGTTGCCGACGCGAACGGCTCGCCTGGCGGAGGATTAAGCTCGTTTGCCGGTAGATCGTGCTCGCTGGTTGGCTCTTGCTCGTGCAGTATCTCCCGCTGCTAACAGGGCGCATCGTCGATTAGCCACGTTGCCGCTGAGTTACGTGCGCGTTGCGAGGTCCCTTACGATTTGGCCGCGCTGGATGTGGTGACTGGCCGGCAGCCGAGACTTCTTCTTCGGATTGATTTTCGCGTAAAGACTGCTCGTGCTGCCGGAGTCGGACTCGTTGTTACGTGGCGGTGGCGGCGAAACGCCCGTGCCCGTGCCGTAAGTCGCGAATTTGCCCATCGGGCTCGGATCGCTTCTGGAATGATGATGCTCGATAACGACGATGTTCGGCCCGCCACGGGTTTCATCCTGAAAGACGAAAGAGAATGGAAAATTTGCGTGGAACGATGACGACAGCGACAAGCGACAGTGACAGCGACGACGACGACGACGACGACGACGACGATGACAACGACGACGGATATGTGCTGAAAATTGCGAGCCAGGCGGGGCACCAAATTTTATTCGAGCGGCAAACAATTTTCGCGAGGCGCGACGAGCCGAGCCTTGTGCCGTTGAGCAATATCCGGCGAAAAATGCAAGCACTCCTAATAGAAGCCGCTGCGCCGCGTACAATCGAGCGCCAGCGGAAAAAAGGGGCGTTAGAAGTAGGAAAGCCGAGGGATAATAAAAGGACAAGCTCGTAAAGTACCCTTTAAGCGCTGTGTGCGCCGCTCACGTCTCGAATACCGACGACATTGATGCCAAGTGGAGCCACGGCTGCGCGGATAATATTTTTCTTTATTTATTTCAACAACAACGAAAACAGGGAAAAAAGCGAGAAGAAAATAACGGTTCCATCGGGTTTTGACGTGCTAGTTTGCTTTTCACCTCACGCGTTACACCGTCGGGGCAATTTTTAATTAGATTGTATCTATGCGATGCGCGTAACACGAGAGCTGAAGTGCCGCGCGCGTCGATCGTGAAAAAGTCCGAAATTGGAGAGGGCGTGCAGCAAAATAATCGGTGAAATTCTCGACTCACCTTATGCACGTCGTCGGGTTGGAATTCGATGGGCTCGCAGTACTCGGAGAGGCCAAGCGCAGCGGCGGTATCCTCGAAGGCATCGAGATACTCGGTGGACGGCCCGGCAGTCCTGGTCAGCTCCACGGGTATTTGATTGAGCACCGAGTTGGTTCGCGTCGCAGGCGTCGCATCCACGGCCACGGAGACTTTATTAGCAGGATGCCGCTTGACGCCAGGCCTCACTCTAATCTGTTGACTTTCCTCGTACATCGACTCCTCGAGGCGCAGCCGTCTCTCCTCATCGGAGTGACATGTCTCTAATCGTCGCAGCTGCTGCTTCATGAGCTTCTCACGATGTTCGCGCTGCAGAGTTTCCCTTGTCTTGCGAAGAAAACGGGGCGAGCATCTGGGGAGCAGTCGGCGAGAGTCTGAGTGAGAGAGCGTTGGACGAGGAGGAGAGGTCGACTGCCGTTTGACGAACGGCACTTTGATGAGCTGGTTATCGGCGAACTTTGCCCCACGCAGGCTTGCGCGCGCTAAGCTAGTGCCGGCTACTCCATTCCTAGTTTTACCGTAAACAAGGATTTCACGAGCCGACGAACAGCCACTAAAGATTAATGTGGATCAGCCTTGATGGCGTTGCCGGTAATGCCAGAGGATTAAGATCATTCATAAAAATCCGTTTCCGACAAAGAGAGAGAGAGAGAGAGAGAGAGAGAGAGAGAGAGAGAGAGAGAGAGAGAGAGAGAGACAGACAGAGTGAGAAAGCAAACTCTCACAGACGCTTGAATTCTAAAGTTTTACGATGTAAGTCGCGCGAGGCGGCGACGAGCTCTTCCTCCCCACGACAAACTTGTTCGCCAGGCCGCGCGCTCAAACTTTGCGCCGGGCGCAACTCATTCGCTAATTGAAATTTTTCATCTTGCGACGGCAATTTTCAAACAGTTATTTATCTAAGAGAGTGTTTGCCACGTGCATACAATAGCGTATTGTTCTTCGTTAGCCCGGACGTTGAACGACTGACCGAGATCTATTATAAAAGAAGGGCTGCCCTGTAAACTCGTATTCTCGCTTTGCTCTAATTGGCATTGAAATTTGAATGCTAGCTGACGCTCATCTGTCGTTTATATGTTCTAAATCACGATCTGTTCCCGCGTTTGTTGATCACGAATGAGATTCCGAAAATACCAACTAAAATTGTCACGGTCAACGAGAGTCAACGAAAGTTCAATTATTTGAAAACTTTCCCATGGTCTAATCGCGTTGAGCTAGACGAGCAGGGACGACCTAGATTCCTCACAAGCTATCACATATCCCGTTTTACACGCAGAATCACTTATTCGACGTCGATCAAGCGTCCAGAACGTAATTATAATTTAGAAATTGCGTGACGCCCGTGAGGGAGCGCTATAATATGACTATCCGTTGCGCGAGTGAGCTGGGTTCCATGAAGGGCCGAAGCGCCCCTTAAAAATGTAAATTTCCATTGGACGAGACCACATGCACAGTAATTTTCAAGCCAAAAACAACGATGGTGAATGCGCACACGAGGAGCGGGCTAACGTACGCGGCGCTAACGTAATCTCACTCGGGAATCGTTCTTCGATGAGACGGACTTGCCGAGAAAGAAAAACAAGGCGCTATCATCAAGCCGCAATTGGTGGCACGGCCACTCGCCGAAAGAAGCGTAGCTGCAGCAAAAACCGTCAATTTTCATTACCGTGGCCCAGGCACTGCAAGCCCCGGCGAAAAAGTCTCGATTTTGTGTCGCGCACGGACGCTAAAAACTCTAATCTACCGAGGCGCATCAACGATTCGCCACGCGTAGATTCTTTATGGAATGACCGAAAAAAGGGGAAAATAAAATGAAGAAACCAACATCGACGTCATGTACACTCCATGTAAATGAGCCCTATGCGAGTTTACGAAGGTTAATTGGTCGTTTAACTTCCATTAGCGGCCAGCTCGGGCGCGAAGATCAAAGGCCGGAATTTCAATTAATGAATTTATTGCCGATGAGCACAATTAAGTCGCTGTATCTTGTTACGCGCTCGGCTATTTGTCAATGGCTGAGCTGACGCTACTCCAACTGAATAATTAGCTGTATAAAGCCACGGGGCTGTTGCTTTCGCATCGTCACCGAGCGAAGTCTGTTTCGCGGCGTGGAACGATATTTCGTCAGTCATTATCATCGCGGGCAAAGGGTTCGGGGCTCGATCGATGCGCGTCGGCTTAACGCGGTAAACGCGCGATAATCAAGATTTTTAGTGGACATTCATTCACGAAATTACGACGGGGCGTAAAGCTTTTGATTTAGCCGGCAGTCAGCATAAAAAATGCTAATAACTAAATTTATTATCCCTGAGCAAGCTAAAGCGCTACAGCTGCGATTAAAGTTGCTAAAGTGCTGGCTTCCGCTTCAGAGGCAGAAGGACACTTTGAATATTTTATGAAGACGTTATTCTTCGTAACTTGGCGTGTAAGTTGTGCGAGCATCCGCGTAACGGTTTATCTCGCTCGGCAACAACAGCGCCGGCAACTTTTTCAATAGCACGTGGCGCGACGCGCGTCAACGTCACGAAGCGATTAAATTAATTCGCCGCTGGTTTAATTCAATGAAATGCTATCCTCTCCCGAGGCGCTCAAATAATAATTTTAAACGCGACAAAGTTTCGCTTGGTCCAAGAAAGGAAACGGAGAAAAAGAGGGTCGCGAAAGACCAACACGGAGATGAAAGAATTCGAGGTACGTGAGCACAAAGTTCCCCACCCCCGCCGCTGCTAGAAGCAGCCGCCGTTGCCTGCACTCGCGAAGCACGCGACTACGGCATGCAGGCTGAGCACTTATCTGCTCATTAGCTAAATGCCCTCGCAAGCCCCATTGATACTCGTGACCAAGTTTCGTCGTTGCAGCCACCTGTACGCTACGCCGCCGGGCAACTTTCGGATTATGGCTTTCACGGTTTTTATGACTTGTGCGTGACTTCCCGCTAAACATTGCTCTCGTCCTGAATATTTGAACGGCGATTAACCTGGATCTGTCGTTTTGAGACGCGCGGAATAGGAAAATCAACGCCCTCGTTCGCCTTGATCCGCAGCGATGATATTGTTTGTTGACGTTGTCGAGACGAACGAGAACGCGGAACGAGAGGTGCCGATGAGGTTTTGCGGTGTGCCGGGGAGCCTTTCCTCTTTTCCTTTCGGTCCACTGAAAAATGAAGGCGCGAAGAAGTTTTCATCAAGCACCTTCTGAACGGGGAAAAAGCAATAAAGCTGCTTGCGCTTACTTGTAAAGCCAATTAAAAAATATATTAAAGGATTTCACAAGATCGCGAGTGGTTGATCACCGGAAAGAAATCACTTTCGTCTACGATAAATTGAGCACTTTTCTCGAGCGGGCTCGCTAATGCGACGCGCGAGATAATAATTTGGAGTAAAACGCATATATATATTCGCGTGGAGGAAGGGGGAAGAGGAGAAGGAGAAAGAACGATATATTGAGGCAGTATCCGTCGTAAACACTCGCTATCTTACGTGGCGAAAATATGGTAACGGGCCCCCCGATGTGTATCGATATTCCGCACCTGGGTGATTCTCTCGCTCCCCTCTCCTCTCTCTCTCTCTCTCTCTCTCTCTCTCTCTCTGTAGCAAAACTTGCTGCGGGCGCGAGCACGAGAGTGACGAGGAAAAAGGGGAAAAAATTCGTTTGAGCAACGTCTCTCATGCAAATTCTCCATACGCGCTCTGGAGCTTCTGCAAACTTCGTGTGTGTTACGCAAAGTTTGAAGCTTAAAAAAATGACTGGCTTTTCTCGATGGATGCTCCCCCGGCCCCGGGAGTACCATTTGCAGTTGTGTACTTTACGCTTAGCATGCCTCATACTGTAACTACCAGCAAGAAGGCACTAAAATTTATGACAAACTTTACCTCCGCTCCTTCGATTATCAGCTTTTTTTCAATTACGATGACAGAATTGAATGTACGTTTTTCAGCGTGCTTTACGCGTCCATTTCTGTTTTTCAAAAATAATTTTTTCCATCTAATTCGTGATCCTGAAAGCTGAAGTTATTTTCAAGTTTGGACGCGTAATCCGTGAACTTCTGAATTGAAAGGACATTTTCAATAGCATAAAGCTACTGTCTGAAATGATTCTGAAAACTTTGATTCAAACTAATTTATTTTGGCTAAAGCTCAATTGAGCCGTGTATAGTTAATTAAATATAAGAACCAACAAAGTATAGTAATATGCAGAGGTACAACAATGTCATGTATGAGTTAATAATAAACTTCTACAATATCATTGTAAAATAAGCACAATCACCGTAGAATGTACTTTTCAATATCTTTGCGAAAAAACTCAATTAAACAAATGGTAATGCATAATAAAAATCAAATTAAAGTAAGTTTCGTTAGTTCACGAAAATTAGACGCGGTATCGTTCAACTGTCGAGACAGTGAACAAACAAAAATGATATTTTTGCAAACAAAGGCTATTCCAATAGTAATGCAAGTATGTATGCTTATTATATAAAGATACAGAGACTTTGCTTGTGCAGAAAGTGAGAGAGAAAGAGAAAAAGAGAGAGGGGGAGATAAGATTTTCAGTAAACGCATTAAACCTCCCGAATAGAAATAGCAAAGAGAATGAGTTAGAATTAAGACGCTTGATCATGAAATCTAATCCTCGTAGCAGTTAATCACGTTGAAGCGGCGGTGGCTGCGGCGGCGGCGGCGTCTCAGCTGCTCACGTTAAGAATCTCGTCAGACGTAGGAATTGGTTTTGCGCGTGGCTTTAACAATCGAGTTTTCGAGCGTTAAGGCAGAAGCCAGCTCGTTCGGTATATAACGCCCGCGAGCTGGCTACCTAAAAGTCTCTCTATCTCTTTTTAAAGGAGAGTGCCCGTAATTGGACGGAGCTCGTCCACTCGAAACTGTGCGGGAGCTAACGGACAAGTGCCCTCGAATCGCGAGCCTGCCCTTCCTCCTCCTCCTCCTCCTACTGCTCGTCCAATTAGGCAAAGTCGTAAGAGAGCGGGCGAGAGACACATACCACGCGAGCGAGCGTCTTCTCTCTCTCTCTCTCTATCTCGACGAGAGAAACCCAGCTAATGGATTTTTTCGTCTTGAGGCCGCCGACGCCGCCGCTGCTTTTTAATGGATTCGCTGCAACTTCTTGCAGTTGCCTTAAACTGCTATTTTTGTTCAGTTTTATTTCGTCGCGGCTTTTGGCCGACTGCGGGCACCGACCGAGAGTCGCAAAAATAATAACGCGATCTTCATTTTGTTCGGGCTCGCGCGCTCGATATCGATCGCATCGCGCGGCCATTACCTGTGAACGATCTCCTGTTGAATCCACTCCCTGACCTTGATCCTCGTGTCGATAGTCGAGATAGAATTCTCCCTGGAGCGTCTGCCAAAGTTGGAATTGTTATCGTACGCCTTGTCGCTCTTGATGAGGTCCCGGATGTCCGGCTTGCTGGCGCTGCAGTAGCCCAGCTCTCGGCAAGACTCGCCGCTGGGTTTGGCCGGTCGAGCTATTGCGGCGGCGGCTTTCTTGCGCATTTTCGCACGTTTGCGGTACAGGTAGACGAGGACCGTCGTGTTAATTAGCAGAAAGACCACGCCGAAGCCGACTACCAGCGAGACAGCCGACCGAACGCCGCCGCCGCCGCCGCCGCTGTCGCCGGTGCCCCCGGAGTTGCCGTTGTTCGTCTCGTCGGATTTGCGCTGCTCACAAAAGATAAATGAGACACGCGTGCAGTCGGTCGGTTAATGGAGGTGTGTTGTAAGCGCAAGCGGCGCTCTCTCAAAGGAAGGATTATTGCGCAAACAATGGCAGCGTGGGTAAGAAGCGCTCCGGGCATCTCCGCAGCTCATACGCGCGTACGTGCGGTCGACGATATTGTTCAAGCGCACTCTTTCTCTCTCACTCATTCTCTGGCGAATCTAATAAAGAGCTGTTCGTTTTCCGAATCCAGCGCGAAATCTGACCTGTGAATCTCCGCGCGAACGCTACATCGTTTATTTGAATTACGCGAATCAAATGCATTAACCACGAAATGGCGTCGATAAAACGAAAAGCCAGCGCATTTCTCTCTGACACTCGCGAGATAAAGATCGTATCATTAAATATTTGAAGGCTATCGATTTTCTCGAAACTGTAGTATCTTCGAACACTCCGTAAAAGCGCTAAGCTCACAGTAATAAATAATAAAAGAAAATAACTTGGTGAAGTGATGATTCAACAAGAGGCAAAGCGTGCAACTGTCATTGAATTGGTGAAAGCGAAAACTGGCACCTTGTCCTTATCGGGGCGTTTGTCTTCGGGCGACAACGAGGGCGTCGGGCTAACTACGTTGGATGGCCTTGAAATGGTCTGGTTGTAGAGGTGCCACTGGAAGGACGAGGTAGACGCTTGCGTTATCTGGTGCGGTAGCGGCTGCGACGTCGGTGGCACGGAATCTGGCTCCCTGGGTCGGCGCAGCAGGTCCGGGATCGCTATGTTCCAAAACTCCATTTCCTCGGTCCGATAGCGCTGGCCAATCTGCGGCGGCGTCACTGCGGAAGGGTCACACGTTTTCGGTCTTCCTTTTTGCTCGCGTAGAGCGCGCGTAGCATTTTCAACGGAAGGGTGAACCGTGGGAGGGGGGAGGGGGCAAGACGAGCAGAGAAAATCTGGATGGACGGTCGCGGAGGGTCGTAAAACGCGGGTACGAAATGCAATTATAGATTGGCAATCAGGCTAATGTCACCGAGTCAAAGGGCTCGCCGGAGCGACGACTTACTAAGATTAAAGTATGTCTGGTCGACGGGGTCGTAACGCGGCCAGTGCATGCTGTAGGGTGAGCTCTCGTCTCTCAGGTGATGCTGGCGGTGGAAGTTACGTTGTCGTGGAGCTGGACGCACCTTGTTTGGATCTCTGCCGAGAAACGAGAATGTATTAGATGCTGTTTCTCTTCTGCCACGGAGCCGAGAGGAAAGTTTTTCGCGCGCGCGCGCGCGCTCTCTCTCCTCCTTCAAGACCTTAATTTCGCAGAGGCAGTATTAATTTACTCGTTGCTGCTCGCCTGTCGCCGTTTCGTTCACTTAATTTGCCGTCGAGATTAATTTGTGGCCGTCGCAGGCGCTCGCGCGGTCGCAAACGCCCACCGCGAAACCTTTTCCTCGTGGGAGAAACGAATGGATTGACATCTGGTTTCACTAAGCTAATGCGTTCGGTCTGAGGCTCGGACTTGAACGATTGATTTATCAACTTGTTCGAGAGCTTGACGATATAACTTTTTGTGTTGGCTCATTTGACAACTGATTGGGTTCCATGAAGGGCCATTCGCTGACTTATGGCGTATGAAAATCGAGTGACAGTTTGAGAAGGAAAATAAGCCAACTGGAAAATCGAACGGCAGTTGGAAAAATCCCGTTAAATTTCCAGCGTGGGACGTATCGCGGTGGCGGCTCGGCGACACTGACAGGTGGAGAAATAACGATGTAAATTCTCACCCGGAGTAAGCGAAATTGCACCACCAGTCCATCATCGCCTTGGAGAGAAGAACCTCGGCCCTGTCGTAGGGGCCGCTGAGGTGATGTCCCTCGCCGCCGAGTGGCACTCCCAGTACGTAAGGCAGCTCCTCGCCGTACACCGTGCGTCGAATATGCTCCTGAAAGGTCAAAGACGCGTCGAGCGATTGCCAAACCTGTCAGCGGATCCACGCATAGAGAGCAAGGTGTATACGCACGTCGAGCTCAGGCTCGCTTTTCTCCCTGATTCTTCGCGGATGCGTAAACACGTACATGTAGCTCTGATTGTTGACTCGCGAGTGCAGATTGGCGGTAGCGAGCATTGGCGCGACGACACCGCTGTCCGACACGACTTCGAGAGCAATGTCGCGATTGCGCTCGCGTAGGTCGTAACTCGCCTCGTAGTGCTGCAGCACTCGGTTGAGAATTACGTCCGAGTCCAGCTCGTGGGTAGCCTGACGGCAAAATTACGGAGCACGTGAGATTGGACTTGCAGCTAATCTAGACGGACTGGCCCACGCAATAAACGCATGGGGCCGGCATTTCTGGCTTGTGTAGCATTGACAAGGGCATTGCGAGATCCGCGCGTACACGAGTTTGTTGCCAGAATTATTCGCGAAAAGTCGAATAATACACTAGGACAAAAAGGTCGCTGTGAAAGCTAGCGCAAGTGTATTGATCCCGTATTCAGTGGTACAAGCGATGTATGGTCAGGCACAATGTAAATGCCCGATTAGCATACTTTTACAAAGAGATACAGCAGAGCACGGATGATTAGCATACTTGATGGGTTCCCAAGTTAGGTCAGCATCGACTGAAGTTGTCTCGTGCAGTGAGTGTGTGCACTTTAGGAGCATATGTAGTATGGAATTTGACTATAAACAAAGAGCTTCACTCGGCGGCAACCCCGGCATAAATTCAAACTTGGCATGAGAACGGATAAAAGTCTAAAATGTCAAGAGTCGAGGCAGCTCGCTCCATCTCATACAAGCTTCCAAAAGGAAGAAGTCGGAGCGCGAGCGAGAGACAGAGCAAATGAAATACAGATAGTGGCGGCAGCAGCAGCAGCGTCGAATCTGAGCGTAAATCGAAAGCGTCAGATCGCGCGAGCGCGAGCACGTGTCTCGATGCGATTTACCTACCTTGATGCTATCGCGGATGAAATCGTCTCTCTCGCTGTCGGACATTCCCTGGAGCAGCGCCACGCCCGGCAGCAAGTGGAATTTCTCCAATTCTGTCACGCCGTACAGCAGGCCGAATCTGCGCAGCAAGCGATTTGCCGTGTGAAAACATCAAACGCTTGGACTTCATGTCGGACTACTCTAATTAAAAACTAGCCGCACTCTTTGCGCGAGGGCTCCATTAAGTCTCGTTACGAAGATTCCCACGCGCAGAGGGTGGGAGAAGCTGCTATTACAGCTAGCGGGTAATTATACAGCATTCTGCGAAAATTGGATTTCCGCTGCCTCGGCCCCGCGGCTCTTGCGCGGAATCTGGCCAAATTGAATTTTAAGTAGCCCGAATTCTTGTGCTTCGACAATCATCAACTTACTTGCTCAGACGCTCGCCACTCTTCATGAGGTTGCTCGGCTTGTCGCTTATTATGGACGAGCCGACGAGCGGCGCGAACGCCGGCACATATTTCGGTTTGTCGATCTTCACCGCCAGCAGGTCCTGCAGACGGGCATTTTTCAAGCACACCGACAATGCCTCCTCGCTCGACTGGTTGCAGTTCAGCGCGTGCGCCACCTTTTGCCAACAAACGTGCACGCGATTATCGTCGGTTGACTGTTTTCCAAACGAGACTGTCGAGGAATTACCTGCTTTGTGATCTGTAATGGAGCTTTGCCGATTGCGTCAGGGTTCAGTGCTGAACCTGACATCAGTATTGCACGTTTCGCATAATCTACGGTCAAAACAGCCTATTTAAACTACGCACAATTATTCAATTGTCATTTAATTGCCGTGTTTCGATCGGTAGAATATTAAGAAAAAAATTGCAAGTCATTTTTAAAGGCTGCAATAAACTTGATTTACGCATATAGCTTGGTTTTAAAGTGTTTTTTAAGTACTTTCGGATGTACTATATTGAGAGATAAGATTAAGATGAAGAAAACAATGATTCGTGGAATAATACAGACCGTCAGTGACTTTAGGAAAAAGCATGAGCAAGTGAGCAAATACAGCGCCAGTGCCGTGACCTAAAAGAGTGATCCTTTCTGGGTCACCACCAAAATGTCCGATGTTTTGTTTGAGCCAGTCGAGTGCAGCTATCTGGTCCCATAGTCCGAAATTGCTGGGGGTATTGTCTTTGGTTCCAGGCCTCAGGAAGCCTGAGTTTGGTCGTAAAGTAGGATTAACACCGAAAGTCCCTCATTGTTCACGCGCTCGCCCTCAAGAGAGAAGCTTTCCTCCCCCTATCTCATATCGGTCTCGGCCAAAAAGAAATTCTTAATTTGAAATTACAATGAGAGCTCGCGGAGCTTGGGCGCTGATAAAATTATCAAAAACGCGAAAATAAACGAAAGCGCGTCAGGCTGGACGACAAGTAAAGGCTTTCAGGGATTCTCTTGGCGAACTCGAGAGCGAAAGTTGTCGGTGCGGTTCCCGAGAAAAAAAAGAAAAAAACAATTAACAACAAACTACCGCCACGCAAGTCCTTATCTCGCCTTTACTCCACAGAGCTATTCATTAAGGGTCGGGAATAAATAGAATTAGGCGTGGGTCTGGGTGAGCGTGCCAGCATTTTACCTAAAATCCCGAGGCGAAAGTTGAGGCTGACGAAAACGACGTTGCCGTAAGCCGCTAAAACGCTGCCATCGTACGGATTGCCGCTGTTCCACTCGTAGCTCTCACCGTGGATGAACACTATCACCGGATACCTTTCCAAGCTGTTCCTCTGGCCTATTTTAATAACAAGCAAAACGATGAATTAAAGGCGATGTTTTGTGCCGTCGCGATTCCGCAGCCTTCTATCGAGGCTTTAATCTTATGTGCATCCAAGTTTCGGTGTTACGCGTCTCTTGCAATGCGACAGCGAAGCTTAACGCCGGGATTGCAGCGAGCTTTATTGCAAACTATGTTTTAATTGGAAAAATTGGCGTGTAGCCTCAAAACTTTAGAGTAATACTGCGTCTGATGCGATAATCGGATGGATTCTGTAGAAGCTAATGCAGTTAAACTGAGGCAGCGCTGGAAGTAATTTTGCAACAAAGCAAGCTGCCCTTTCTCCCTCTGAGTTTATCGTGGCGGCAGCGGCGGCGACGGTAACGGCGGCGGCAGCAGTAGCAGTAGCGGGCTTCAAGCCAGGAAACAAAAGGGTTGGAGAACCGGCGGAGCACTAGCAACAAAACATGAATAGAATTTGCCAAAAATTATAAGTCAGCCCCTCGTTACTTTTTCAGCGTGCTCGTAATTCTCGAGGCTGTTCTCCATAGCGTAATAGTTCAAAGGATTATTGCGCGTGTGCTCTAGCTTCAGGCTAAAAAGTGGCGCGAGCAGGCGACCCTTGCGAATTAAATGAATGTACAAAAGCGAGAAATGGCGTGTGAATGAAAAAGGGGTGAAGATATAAAGGACGTGTTCCCTCTCTCTCTCTCTCTCTCTCTCTCTCTCTCTCTCTCTCTCTCTCTCTCTCTCTCTTTCTCTAGAGGAGGGCAGGCATTGTGCAAAAGGAGCTCGCCCACGAGGTCAGTTATTAAAAGCTCAAGTGTGTGCATAGCGACCCATGCTTTCTTTTCTCCAAAAAAATAAAATAAAATAAAAAAAGGAAAAGAAGTAACGAAGAAAAATGAGAGTGTTTTATAACCCCGAGAAATCATTTATAATTCAGCAAACACTGAGCCTATACTTCCAGGGGAAGGCTCTTGAGCGAGCGAGGGATGAGGAGGAAGGACTATCGGAGAAAAATAATCAAAGTCGGTCGACTCGAGAAAGTTTCACGTAAAAATCCGTATACGTCGTATAATAATGGCCGGTTAGCGTGCGGGCGAAAGACAATTTGTCGACACCTCGCGACTACTTACGACGAGTTTTGTAGCCGGCCGTGCAGGCGCTAACAAACGCGCGAGCGCACTTTTTTGCTCGGCTTTTATGCAGGTCGAGTCGCAGTGTGGCACAAAAAGAGCGAGGGGCAGGGAAGGGAGCGTAAAAAGACAGAGGCGCGCGTAAAAGGACGCGAGCGAGCACGCAATTGAATCGTCCCTGAAACTTGGCGTTTGTTCTCTTTGCTCTTATTATTATTTGATTTACATTTAACGCTCGCCCGATGAAAAACTTTGCACCGCTCTCGCGGTAGCCGGCAAAACTTTTGATTTATACCAGTATAATGGAAAAATGAATGAAAATTTCAGATCGTCGCGTATAGAAAGAGAGAGAGAGAGAGAGAGAGAGAGAGAGAGAGAGAGAGAGAGAGAGAGCAGACCAGAACAGAGAAGAGAGCAGAGGGTGACGCTCGTCCGTGCGGGCGGCTTATCGTTTCTTTCTCTTCTTCCTATGCCCGTCGACGTGTGTAACCACAGGTGGATACGACGGTCCAATATTTTTCGGTAAATGCCAAATTTGTTATGCTAATACTCCGCATAAATTTGGCGGTTCACTGCAAAGATGCGCGCAGTGGCGGCGCGGTGCTACTTTCGGTAAAAGGGCAAGCTATACACGCTCGCATCTACCAACCCGGCCAATTGCATTCATTTATAAATTCAAATTGCAGACGCGTAAGCACAACTCGTTGTCCTTTTATTTACGCAATAAAACTCCAGTCGTTCAAATTCAATGGATTCTATAAACTGTCAGCTCTGGAAAAGCTCAGTGTATCACATCGCTCAAAGAGAGCGAGTGTGAAACATGCTATGATTTTTCGACATATGTATTGTTTAAAAGCGCGGATCACATATCATTCGATTGGACAGAAAAAAAGGAAAGAGGAGCTAAAAAAATAGAGAAGTTTGGCACGTGCGAGCAAGAAGTCGTAAATAACGGAAAATGGCGAAAAAGCATGCCAATTGCCATACTTTATAAACTCAAAAAGAAGAGCCGCTCTCTCTCTCTCTCGCTCTATACATTATCGACTAAATTTCAACTCCTCCTTCAGAATACGCAAGCAGCGTTGCTCGCGCTTGCCTACTTCTCTCTCTCTCTCTCTCTCTCTCTCTCTCTCTCTCTCGCTGCTGCTCAGAGTAAATTGAAGTCGAGTAGAGACGAGGTCTTTGATGTAGTTTATGACTCTAGCTCGTAGAGAAAAAGTATTTACTCTAATTACGTTTTCCAGCCATGTTTCGTTAAAGTTATTCATGATTTTGTTTCATATTTGCGATCTCGTTGCGCTTTTGTTTCATCATCGCGTCGTCATCACTGTCATTACAGCGTGCTCAACGACAATACGCTCGGCATTTGACTTTCTAGTCAAAAAGGACATATAGGGTCGCCGCCCGGAGGAATTTACGACGAGCGAGCAATCGCAGAAACGATAAAAAGATATCGAAAGAGAGCTGAGGGAGGAGGGGGAGGAGGGGGGGGGGAATCAATGCGGGCGGTCGAGCGTACGATTTACATGAAAATTGAAAGCTCGGAGAAAGAGACAAAGAAAGAGCGCGAGAGAGGAAAGTCGATAGGCGGAGCGGTTGCTGAAATTGATGCGTCGGCGGGAATCATGGCCGGCGAATATTTTCATTTTGCCGCGCGTCGTTATAAATCACTGCCGGCTGCGAAATCTGAGGAACACCTTGCAGACGTACCACCTTTCCAGTGGATTTTTTTCCCTCGTTCGCTCGCTCGCTCCCTCGGCCGCGCGTGCGATCGATCGATCGTCGCGTGCCTCGTTTGACGATGAAGCGAACGGTCTCCTCTGCACTTTAGCCACTCGTCGCGCACTTGGAATATTTTTTTGCGCTAGCGATGCCGCTCGGAGAAATCTGAAGAGCGCGCGCGCTTCGGCTTTTATTCCATTCGATAGACGCGTCAAATTATGCGGAACAGCCGCCGCGCGGCAGCTGCTGCATCGCTAAAAAGGCAGCTCCTCGGTTTCGCGTCTATTTCGTCCGTGTGTTTCACGCGGTAAATGATATCTGCAGAGTAGAGCTCGTTTTTCCTCATTGTCTCGCGCGCAACGATCTAAGTCGCGTGATTTTCTATGCGTCGCTCGGGTGCTGGATTTGCAGACTCCCAAGAAACGCATCCGTCAAGTAACGACGTTTTCTTAACGAGACACTCCATTCGGGGGAATGTGCGTATCAGCGTGCAAGATTGATAACCAAATAATTCAGGCGATTTGACGAAAAATTCATTAGCAGACTGGCACTGCTGTGCGACTACCTGCACGAAGTTGCTGCAAGTCTTCCTTCTCTCAAAGTTTGTAAACAATTTGATTATTGATCACGGGCCCAATTAAATTCAACAATGTTATCGTATCTTGGCTTTAATTAATTGGAGCTTGCTTAGTCGCACTACGACGAACACGATGCTCGAACTCATTTGGAGTTGTCTTTTGCAATAGACGTTGAGACGATTTTTCCTTGACAAAGGTCAAGAGAGCCCGCGCGAGCTTATGGCGAAGGATGGGAAACGCTTAATAATCCGTCAAACGAGGCGACACTTCCCGGAGCCAATAAAAGCTTTCGGAACGCAATTATCATTCGCAAGCGCGCATATAAACTAGATTTACACTTGGCCCTTGACGCCGCGCACACTTCTACACGGCAATTAAATTTAATAACCACGCTTGTGTTTCAGGCGCCCCATTCATAGATGACGTCATAACTGCCGGCAGGGGAGGAGGGAGGAATTTTACGCCCTGGAGGCAAGTTGAGAGCGAGGCCTGACGGGGCTTGCGACTCGTGCGCTCGCTTGTTGTCGCCGCCAGATTAAGGGGTGTGCCGAGGTTATCTTCTTTATTAAGTTTTCAGCGATGATTTCAGAAATTAATTAATGGCGCAGCTACAGCATCGAGATAACCTTTCGAGCGCTCAAGACTCTCTAATAATTAATGGGGATGTCCCATGCTTTCGATCCAAATGTAATTTTCACATGGGACGACCTTTCGTTAGGATATTTCACTGCGCACGCTAGATTATGAACTACCCGTTCAAAGAAGCTCTGCACAAAAAGGTTTAAGAATCTCTCTTTTTTTTAATTTTTTTTAATTGTTCGACGTGTGCAACAACGACTAAAAAATTAACGGATTGCATAAATACAAGTGAAGATCAATCAATATGCTTGCGTAAAAAGAAGATCCACTGACTAGAAATCACATTTCTTCGGGCTGGAAGGACGTTAAATAGTGGGATTTAATCAACCGAAACAGCGATCAAAGCGATCAATTTGAACAATTGAAAATGATGGTTCTCAGCAACGGTAGCAGCAGCTTGGCGTAAAAATGAACGGCTCTCTCGGCTAGATGGGCGATAAATTGCTCAATCGCGGATCTTTTTTCAGCTCGCCGGGCACATCGATCAAAGCGATCGGACCGCAAATTGAAAAGCTGTGCCCGCGCGGTTTGCAACGGAACGAGAGTACCGCAACGAGCGAGCGAGGAGCTCCAGATCAGCTGCTGCCATCGTAGAGCTTTCGCTAGAAGCTCGCCACGTGGTATAGCAAGCTTTTTTACCTCGAGGGGAGAGGTGGACTGTTGGAAATCGATAGCGATAGATGGCGCCACCGATATGATTCGAAGAGTTTACAGTGACACAGGGAATAGTTGAGTTGGAATTAATTATTCATGAGTAGCTAAGTGCTTGTTTGATCAAATCTTAACGGTACTAGGCCACGATTCAAACAAGTTGTCGGACTATTTACAAGTGAATTATGTATGATAGAGAGCTCAGTTAGCATTAATTACTTCTCTCTCTCTCTCTCTCTCTCTCTCTCTTTCTTTCGCTGTCGGATGTTTGTGGGAGAAAATCAACATA